ATGTATTCTACTACAGCTGGAAATTCTCTATCAATCTATATATTTATCTCTTTTATTACAGTCATTTATTGAAAACAAATTTGAGTATAATAAACACATCCACAATTGGCAAGTACCAAAAATCTGTTTTTCGTTGCTTTGCAGGTTTCTTTTTGAACTCATTATTCGTATAAGAAAATATTTAAAAAAAAGCAAATATAGGTGTTGATAGAGCTTGAAATTCTCTATCATCTTGTATATTTGTTAACTATTTTGGGTCTATGTGTCAGAGAATAATTCGAGTATTACNAGATTTTTGGTACTTGCCAATTGTGGATGTGTTTATTATACTCAAATTTGTTTTCAATAAATGACTGTAATAAAAGAGATAAATATATAGATTGATAGAGAATTTCCAGCTGTAGTAGAATACATAATTGCTTTTCTCAAAAGGTAATCCTATAGTGTTGAAAATTTTTAAAAACTAATGTTGATGGCAACGAGAAAATCAAGTCTGTGGAAATCTGGACATGAGGGTGTCTTCATTCCACTTGATTAACTTTGCAACAAATAAAAGCAAGGTAAAATAAAAATACACAGTTTGGTAGAGAACTCCAAGCGCTATCAAATGGTATAATTAATTTTTCAAAAATACCCTTTTAGAGTGTCCGAAGACCTCAAATACCGAGTACAGCCGTTGCTTTCCAGAGGTATATATAAGCCAACGTTAAGTCGTCTTAACACTCCGATTCTTCATATTGAAAACCGGTAGATTAATTAAAAATAGATGTTTTCGACTTTTAAAAGAAATATTTTATATTGATTTTTTAAAGCACGAGTAAATCAACATTCTAGAATATCGAAATATCTGATTTCACGGAACCTATTTATTTCGCTATCATCTAGTATAATTATTGGAAATATGTATCATTGATTAAAATACATAAGAGCATCATTATTATGGGATACTTTTCTGTGCGGGTACAGTTAAACTAAAGTCTTGATTGACAAATCTCTCAAAGAAGAGTAGGGGTAGTTGAAAGTAAATGGTTGGTGGTTTTGATCATCTATCTTTGAACCCACGAAACAGATATTTTACTAAGTAACTCGAATACTTAATAGATTCGACACAAAAGTATTTTAAAGTTATACTGATAAAAATAAACAGTGAAAGAAAGCTTCATTTGTAAATTCTTCAACTCAAACAAATCACAATCTAGATAACCACGCTCGTTTTAAGGAAAGAGGCTAATTGCAGATAAACAGGATATCATATGATCGCAAATAGTGGGTAATGAATGACGATCGAATAAAGACAACATTCAAAATAATTCAAAAATTTAGTATAAATGGAAAAAAATCGACAGACCTTCATCAGATGTTTTCTCTGGTGACGCAATACTTGTTAAATTTCGTTTTCTTGGTTCAATTGATAATAACGAATGTAATGGACCAGCTCTTGGATGCATAGAATTTTGCATTGTCGAATCATCAAGATCAAGTGTAATTGGATCAGTGATGGAATGACCTGCAAAATTCAAAACTTATGATATATTTATGAAAATATGAAATGCAACTTTTACCATCATCGTCATTAAAAGATTCATTTTGTGATACACGAGTTAGTCGAAGATATTCAGAATTACATTCTTCAAGAGAACCTAAAAAGAATAATATGAAGCAATTAAAAAATAAACAGTAAAACAAACCATGGTAAGCTGATTTTGTTTTTACAAGTTTATTACGAATCATGATAAAAACAACATCCCCATTGATTTTTTTCAAACTTGAACGTGCTACTATTTGATACGAGTTCGTATCTTCGAAAAAGAGTAAATAATGGCTTGGTGGTGGTGTACCTTGGGTAGGTGTAAAAACTTGGCGAGGAAGCACTTGCCTACGTGATGTCATTTGTATATAGTATGTATAGAATGATAATATTAAATAAGAAACAGCACGACTGGCACGTATATATATATGGATACTATAACAGAAAAGAAAAAACATATCTGCCGAACACTTCCTATTCAAATCCCTTTCTCGCTCGATCGGACGGAGAAAATGCAAACTCGTCGATCACTTTTTCTTTCCAGTGTTCGTTTAAGAGAAGCAAATCGTTTAGATTCTAATTATACTTTTTATTTAGGCATATTTTTAATCATGTTCGTATGAACAAGAGAGTGGTGTCACAACAAGTGAATCACAAAAAGTAAATACTATACACATATTTGATATGTTGTCCACAGTAATTACATCTCTACAAGTTGAAGTAAGATTAAGTACATAGAAATACATATTGAGTGCCTTAAGTAAAATACTATGGTATTTAGAAGATAGAAAATAATCAGTAAATAAATGCTTCGAACTATGATTATGTATTAAAGCATAGTTTTTGTTATTGCAAGTAAAGAACAACTCAATTGCACCAAACAAATTTTTGTCATTATCTTTTGAGTATTGAACAAAATAACTTTTGGATGATCCGCGTCTATGATAAATTAAGGAATGATAGATCATAGCATCGATTCGATGACGACGATAAATTCTAATGCATTGATTGGCATTATCACAGAAACATAAATCGTTATGAGTTTTGAGAAGAAAGTTATTAATCAATGCATCATGTGAATCAAATAGACCGTTGGATTTTACTGGCACATCTGATAAATGATGATGCAATTGATTTACAATCGTAAAATCAACCTAGAATTTCGATAGAGATTTCTTTATTAGAGCTAGTTTTGATCAAAAGAATATTAACTACATTGTAATTATTTATTATCAATTGACCTAAATTACGTGTTCCATTTCGATTATTGGCGAAATGCCCTATTAATGACTCTTGACCGAAGGTACCAAGATTAGAGAGACTACCATGCAAACGATATTGATCCATAAAATGAGAGTGAAGATGTAAAACAAAATTTTGAATATTTTCATAAAATAACGTATGATGCTTATAATACATAGCCATTAGTTCATTAGCCACAGTTTCTGTATCATTACCAATTGTACGAGGTCCATGAAATAGCTTTATCATGAGAAAATGTTATTAAAAAATAGAAAGAAGAAAAAAACTTGTAAGAGTTTTATCTATTGTTACTTATTGATGACACATGTATTTTAAACTCCAACGACAGAATTTTTCTGTAATCTTTTTAAAACTGTTTACATATGCATAATCATTCCGAACAGAGGAAACTAGACTATTATAGATAGCAAAAGATCATTTTTTAGCTATCGTTTCCCTGAGCTTAAAGTATTCTATCGTAATCGAACCATTATTCTTCGTTGAGGATTTCTGCTTTATGGCCTTATCGATTGCAATTTATAATCTAGTATTATTCAAGATATTTCTGAAAATTTTAATGCATTAATTTTATACAAAGCTATAGATAAAAAAAAACAGGAAAATGATAGAAGGATATTTATATGCTACGTTAAATAGATGATAAGGTTAGAAGAATTAAATGCTAATGTTTAAAAAGATTACTAAAAAATTTGTCGTCAAAGAAAGTTTATCCATGCTCATATATATACATATGAGGGTAAACATTTTTCTGTATGCATGTGGTAATTGAAAGACCTTTTCTCTTTGACAAAAATACTACCTACTCGCATTGCTGTTACGTAAAGTGCTAGATGTGCAGCACATTCAATCGGTAGAAACAATCGAATCAGTGGTAACAGGCCGTACAACAACATGTTTCTCAATTCCGTCGCTCTAAAATGTAAATTGACAAAAAAGATCTCTAGTCAATCAGTTTACAGACTTGCAATATGAAAATTCTTTAACAGGACGCATCTTGCGATTGAAAAAATGAGGAAAAGATTGATTTCGAAAGAGTTCATCAAGCTCTTCTCTTTGTTTTGGTTTCAAAAAATTTCCATAAATATACTGAATCACTGTACGCGTGTGACGCAACAGTGAAACGTGCATATAGTCAATGACCAAACAGCGTGGAAGAGGTACATCAATTATAACAGATAAAGGTGAAACACCAAGGTGGCCATAAATATTAGTTTTTGTTTCTTCGGCTTCATGTGAATACAAGGCATATTCAGCTGCTGAACGAAGAGCAAGTTCTTTTTTGAAATAATATTGTCGTTTGTGATGAATGTGGACACCACGAATATAACAAAACCAACAGCACCAATAGCCTTGATGATTAACATGTTTTATTGCTAGTTTTATAGCCGGACAATCACCTGTTATTCCATAAATAAGTATTTTATAATTAATACCAGATCGAGTAGGAATGCCTAGAATTGAAAATATTGCTATACTGTGATTTAAAAAACGATTCAATCTTCTGTAAGTGTGATAGAAACGACGGTTAAAATGGCAAGAAGTGATATTTTTAGCGGTAGACTACCGAGTTGAAAACATAGTAGAACCTCAAAGTTCACATTATTAATGTAAAATATGTTGCTGAAATTGTTTTATTCAATGACTAACACAAATGTGCAGAACTGATTGTGTTTTTGATACAGCACTCTGATCGAATATCCTAGATATTTCATCTATGGCTGATTCAGAAAAGTGAATGTTTGCTTCCAGAATGTATGAAGGAATCTGGTTAAAATTACTTTTGTGAAGTCTGAGTACTTTTGAACTGAAAACATCGACAAAAGAATACATAGACAGTTATTTTTGAACAACCAAGAGATCTCATTTATTTTAAGGAACCATATGTTTACACTTGTAACTTTGGTATTACAAGTTACAAAGGATTAAGTGTTTTAGCACAAAAAAATCCTTTTTTCGATAACGGTTGAGTTAAGCGTTTTAGTAATATCAATCACTGCCTAGGCTTCTAACTATTTTAAGTATAAATAAAAATAAATAAATTAGACTTCAACAGCGCAGTTTTCAAAGACTGAATATGGGACATGAGATGAAAATTTAAGTCTTCTATGGCATGATATTATTTAAAGTAGCATTCATTTTCTGTGGAATATTCAGCCAGATATTTTTGTCGACTTATAAACAACATATTGCTATAGTTCAAGCATTAATAATATGATCATTTCTCGATTCTATTGTATGCTAAAAAAATAATTTCAAATTTGTTTGACAGCAACTTTCAAACAAACAGCTTCATATTTAGGATGTTGAAAAAGATGTTATGATGCTAAAACAATTAAGCCAGATACTTTTGCATAAAATAATTCTCTAGAAGGTTGGGGCATTCTTTTTCACTGATTTTTCGTTCTCACTCTTCTGTGGTCTCGGGTAAACATTTTTGAATAAAATTCATTCTACACTTCCGCATAAAACACTTTGCTCTATTTATCAAAAAATGAAGCATCTATACGACATTTCCCTACATTGCTGCATCAAAACCAAAATTTGCTCGAAAATTTGACTGACTAATTATTAAATACTGTACGATGTAATTAGTGTTGTTGATGAATCTAATTAATTGAGAAAGAAGTTACAAATACCCTGAGTCTTGACGTGACTCAGCTGATGTAAAAATTCACTCAACCATAAGTTGATATCCGGTTCACTGTGGCCCACCCAAACAGAAAGAACAATCATGTTAAATTTTCGATATCTAAGATGGACTGGCAGTTCAATTATAGTACAAGTGAGTAACCATAATGTAATTTTGCTTGATTTACATAGACTAATGCCATCCAAGTGTAACAATAGCGAAACAAATGATGACAAGCCATAGTTATCTTTAAGTTCTTTGTAAACTTGATTAAACACAATATCGTTGTTCTTATTGCTACCTCCTGATAAATTATTATCAATAATATCTCTCCGATTGTTTTCAATGTCTACCGAAAGGCGATCCAATGTTCGTGAGAATACTACCATTTGATTGACGTCGTAGATACTAGCAATTGATTTCTTATTAATCGATTTACAATTGTTGCATGATCTGTCATTGTTTGATAGATTGGTAGAACATTCTGTACAAACAGATCGTTTATTGAACAGTTGTTCAACTGAAACAAAAAAAACGATTTCAGTTTTCTTTTTGCTTTGTGTAAATACGTTAAATATAGTATTCTTCTGATTTAAAATTTCCAAAATAGACTTCACTATCGTAGCAGCAAAATTAAATCTTACCATTCATTGAACTGTACAACGCTTTTAGTGTCGTTGGTGATTGGTGAGGCTGTGGAAGAATAGAACTAATGAGTTTCAAAATACGAATACAATGAACGTTGCTGATATTGGCATCTCTAAAAACTTTTGCCAGTTGCCTGCAAAAGTCATTCGTTTTAATGTTGGTATATGGATGCAGGAAATTATTATTTTCATTGTTATTTGGTGGAAACAAATCATCTAATGTCAGGGGCTCATATTGATCATCAGTCGAAAATTCACAATCTATATTGACTTCTGGTTCAGCTTCACTCATGTTTTCTATAAATGTACCAACATCAAAATCTGTATCAAAATCTAATATTTCATAAGGATCAGTTATGGGCTGATCAATTGTTTCTTTAAGATTGCTTAATTCTGTTTGATCTTGTTCATCACAATTTATCATAGCAGCATCGTCAGTTGTTGCTGAACATATTTCGATTTGTGTTGTGTGATGACGGCGACGGCGACGAATATTTGTTTGTTGCTGCCTCTGTTTCAATCGCTTTTGGGCTTGCTCCATAGCGATGCTCAAATGTGGATACATATTTTTAAATAATATGTAGAATATTCAATAATTTACAAAAAATAGTCTAAATGACAAGATTTAAAGATGAAAGGACAATTTATTTCAATAAAATAATTCAATCAATATATTTTTTATTTTCAGTAATGAATCAATTTTTTCAAGTACGTTTGAAACGTTTAATTGAATGGCCGTAAAAAATATTAGAAGTATTAGTAATTACTAAAAATTAATTATTTTATCTCAAAATTTATTGATACAAAAATTTATAACAAGAAGAAAGTCTGATCAGTTTCTTTATCCCACTGTTAATGTAATTAGGATGTAGAGCTTTTACGGCCGCAAAACATTATGAAAAATATTTATAGAATTTTATGAACTGTTCCTTGGATCTAGATATTTTAGTTTAAAATATGAAAATAGAGTTGAGCGTCATTTCATTAGTAAAATTTGGTCATCAAAGCGACAGACTGAGCAGAAGTTTATTAAGTTCGTTTTTCTTTGATGATGTCAGAGTTATGCTGTTTCATTGAGATGTGATGCTCCTATTACTTCAAAAGTATGTTATGGTTATCAGAAGACCTGGATGTAGCGAGAGATAAAATAAAGGCACAGTACCATACTTACTGATATAGAAAAACTTTCAATACTTATATAGCTCGAATATACTTGTTCAAACAAGAACATTATTGTACGGTTAGAGATACAAGATCAAAGTTTAGCAATTATTAATATTTCCAATATTTTTTATAGTCATTCCAGCACTCATTTATAAAGTAATTAAATAAATCGACCCATTGCTGAAAATAAAGTATAAAATACGATTGAATTATTTTATCGTGAAAAATTGTTGGATGACGAATTATTATGCATCGAATTGTCTGTAAAGCATTGCCCTAGTATCGGATTTACCAGCTTCTAGAAGAGAAAATACATAACATTCAGTGGCAAAGTTGAATTTCTTCAGATTCGCTAGTTTATGCAAAGAAGCGCTAGATGGTACGAGAACATGCACAAGCACAAAAACTTGAAAGATTCACATAAATACATTTTGTTATCGATTTGAATTACTCTTTTGAATATGGTGGTTTAAGGAAAATTGAGACTCAATAATATTTTTTTAACAATAGTAAAATAAAATGAAGCAATGAAAGACGAAAGAACAAAAGCAGTAACAAACAATCAATAGAAAGAAAGAAGAAAAAGCCTACTGATGCACGCCTTTATTTTACTGTTAAGTAATTGATTCCTGGAAAGCTAGTTTAAGAACGTTTTATGTGATAGTCGTGCGGTAGATAATTTCCACCGATTTCATTTTTGTATTTAGCCGATGTGATCGCAAAATAAAAGGCATGTAGAAGTTGCGTTGTGTGAAAGATAAACGCAATGCTGATAGAGCCTCATAAAAACACTGGTGTCTTTGAATTTAGTTATCTTCTTTCCAATTCTTATTTCGGTTAATTCCTAAAAATATTATAAGATTCCTTTCTCTCTGACTTTAATCACTAACACATTCTTCTACAACTTCTCATTTTCTTTCATATTTCGTTTTACATAAATAACTGATGTTCTTATTCCCTTTTTTATTAAAATCAAATATTTTCTATTCTTTGTATTGTCTTTCTCCTACCATTCGTATTGGCAGTCACACTTCATATGATAATCGAATGCGTTAAATATGTAGAGGCAGACACTAGTCAAAGGATTCAATAGAACTTGTAACATGTCATTCGTATAAAATATTCGGTTATTCAGTTATATAAATGAATACATGATAGACAATACTTTATTTATTATACTCAAGTATTTAGTGCAGAGGATACCGAGATTTATATTTATACCAATAGATTTAGAATAATACTTTTTATTTTCTATTATGCAGTTTAAAAAAATTCGAGAAAATGCTCAGCGACATAAAAAAAAGGAAGCTATTCAACTTTGATTAATACTTTCGCAATGGGTACTACCACACATAGTCTATATAATTGCAAATCATGTCATATAAAGGTTTGCAAAGTGGAAAGATAAAAAAGATCATTTTTTTCAATAAAATCGTACATCTATGTATATATTACTATCGATAAATCGTGTTGCAGTCAGCAGCAACAAACGACAAAAATACGGTCGTATACGACAACAAAAAACGATCGTTTATGATCGTCGTACACACGATCGTTTACGACCATCGTATACAGACGTATTCACACGTATACGATTGTCGTATACGACCGTCGTATACGATTATCGTTATTAGTCGTATAATGTTGTATACGGTCGTATACGATCGTGGACTTTTAACCTGGGCCATTACCCACACCCTGTCTGACTCATTTAATTTAATTTAAGAAAGAATTAAAATGAAATATTGACAAAAATTTCGTGCATATGTTAAATTAATGCAGGAAAAGTCTAAAACAACGTTTTTATTCGAATCTAAACAACGAATTTTCAATATCCTATTTTTTTCTGATTTTTTACACCTTTTCCTGTATTTTTAAAAAGTTTGGTCTTGTGCTAATTCCTACATTTTCAAAAACTTGCAATCCGAGACCAGCCAGTAGTGTCAAACTTGAAACTTGAATTCAGTTGAAAATAGAAAATTTCAAGTCTCAATTTTCAACTCATAGCGATATATGTACGAGTCACGATTATTCAGAACGCTATTGGTTTAAAAGTGGAAAGCTGAAAATTTCAATTTTCAATTGAATTAAATTTTCAATTGAATTCAAGTTTCAAGTTTGACATATGTGAAATAAGTGTAACACTTCCATACTTGAATCCACGTGTTTCATTCATACAACTATGTTAATAGTAGCATATTAGTTTTGAATTTTGTGTTAATACTCAACAGCCGATAGTAGGGGTGGCACCTTAAGTTTAATTTAAAACTTAAAGTTAAAGTTAAAACAAAACATTTTACCACTTTAACTTTGAAATCACAGCTAAAATGCCATCCCTAGTAGTTAATAATCAGATTATTGTAGTGCATCAGCAAAAAAATGTGTCAAGATCACGAATTTTCCTCCGCAAGCAATTCAATAATATTGGACATTTCTAAAAGAACTTTACAACTTATTTTTATGATGACCATCAATAATCATCCCGAGAGGATAGAATGTGGGTGGAGTATTCTTACGCACTTTCCATCACCATTGTCTGTTAAGCAAAAATTTTCACATGGCAATTCTATTAAATATGTTCGAAATAACAAAATATAATTACTGTCCTAGAAGCATAAGAAGATAACGAATACTGTTTCAAAAATACTTGAATTTTATTCAAATTGGGCGATTTTCCAATACCACGTAATACTTTCATCGATGCCCTTTTGAGTGCATATATACAAACAAATGTGTTCAAATCAGTATGGATATACGCTGGTAAACGATTGTATTGTGAATTGCGCCATTTTCTGATTGCTCAATGAA